GGAAAGGGGCTAAGGATGGTCAGCCAAAGGGGGGGAAAGGGGGCTTCAAGGGGAAATGCTATGTGTGTGGACAGATAGGGCATGTGGCTAAGTACTGTCAGCAGCGGGCGGATAAGGAGGCAGACACTGGTGGAGAGGGTTCTGGAGGTAGCAGCGGCAAGGGGGGTGATGGCTCTAAGGGGAGCGGGCAGTCATCATGTGCGATGGTGAAGCCCGTTGTAGAGCAGACTCCTCTCGTTGTGCTGGAGCCTGAGGCCGGGGAGGGCTTACAGGCTGTTGCAGCTGCTGTGAAGGCAAACCCGAGCGTCGTGCTACTTGATAGCGGATGCTCCCACCATCTCATGGGAGATCGTTCTGCCTTTGTGGAGATGAGCAGCGGCGGTAGTATCAAACAGGTGAAAGGCTTCAACGGCGCTCTTCAGGATGTGCAGGGGCGAGGCACAGTCGCTCTCATTGGAGAGGGGGGCAGGCGTGTCTTGGTGCCAGACGTGCTGTACGTACCTGGAGTGCAGGCGAGTCTTCTTTCTGCTGGGCAGCTGCGTGATAGTGGCGTGCAGCTGCTGGATGCAGGCGACGTGACTCTGCTGCGGGCACCAGATGGGTCGCTTCTTGGGCGTGCAGAGTTCAGGGGGCGTGTTCTCTGCACGAACTTCCAGCCGTGTTCGACGCAGCAGCAGGAAGGAGAAACGGTGGCCCTTCGTACCTTGACGACGGGCGTGCGGTCTAAGGTGGACATGTGGCATGCACGTATGGCACACGTTGGCGTTGATGCCATCGAGCGCACTGCGTCTCACGGGTCAGTGAAGGGCTTGGACCTGGAGAAGGGGGGCAAATCAGGCATACCTTGTGTCTCCTGTGTTGGGGGGAAGATCACTCGTCATACCTTCCCGTCAGTGGGTGCGGAGGAGGATGAGTTGCTTGGAGTGGTGCATGCTGACCTGTGTGGCCCTTTCCGTGAAACAGCTAAGGACGGCAGCCGCTACTTCCTGGTGCTGAAGGATCGCAAGTCGCGGTACGTCTGGGCCTACCCTTTGGCTCAGAAGAGTGATGCGCTGGCGGCGTTCCAGAAGTGGCTCCCGATGGCAGAGCGGCAGTGTAAGACCACGGTGCAGGCGCTGCGCACTGATCGGGGTGGCGAGTTCCTTGGGCATGACTTCACGCTCTTCCTCGACGGCAAAGGCATCATCCATGACCTGACGTGCCCGTACACGCCGGAGCAGAACGGGATGGCCGAGCGGGAGATGCGCAGCATTGTGGAGGCGGTGCGAACGATGCTGCTGCACATGGGGGTGCAGCACCACTGGTGGCACCTGGCGTTGGCGCAGGCCGTCTGGGTGCGCAACCGCGTGGAGCACGCCTCGCTGCCCTCTGGTGTGACGCCGTACGAGCTCGCCTTTCGACACAAACCCGATGTCAGTATGGTGCGTGTCTGGGGCTGCATGGTGCAGTACATGGTGCCGCAGTCGCAGCGTGGGGGGAAGCTAGCACCTAAGGCTCGCTGGGGGTTGCACTTGGGGGTGTCCGCAGCGAGCAAGGGCTGGACCGTGCTGGACTTGGAGTCCAACCGCCTCATCACCACTGTGGAAGCTGTGTTCTATGAGACCATGTCCTTGGCAGGATGGAAGGCGTGGCATCAGCAAGAGCATGGGGGGCGTCCAATGCCCTATGAGCCCCTTCCCTCTCACTTCCCGATCACTCTTGAGGAGGCGGTGGAGGAGGAGGAGGTGGTCGCACCTCCTGCTATGCCCTATGTCCCCGCCTCGGTCCCCGCCCCACCTCCTCCTTCCGTTTACCCTCGTGTGGTTCCCCCTGCCCCACCTTCTTCATCCTCACCCCCCTTGGCTTCCCCTCCTCCTCCTGTTATTCCCTCTCCCCTTCCACCCTCCATCCCTCTTGCACCTGCTCCACCCTCCTCTTCGTCTTCCACGGCGCCGCCCGTTGGTGAGGGGGGGATAGTGGTGCCCTCGTCTGTGGAGATCACCGACGGGCAGCGCCTTGAGACTGAGCAGCTGCAGGACGAGAGCAGTATGGATGGAGTACAGCAGAGTGGGGGGCAGGAGATAGGGGAGCAGCAGTCAGGGGAGCAGCAGTCAGGGGAGCAGCAGAGTGGGGAGCAGCAGATAGGGGAGGAGCAGATTGAGGAGCAGCAGATGGTGGACCAGCAGCTAGGGGAGCAGCAGACAGGGGAGCAGGAGATGTGGGGAATTAGAGATGGTGGTCGTGTGTTGGCTTCTGGGACGATCACTGCACCGCTGCGTCGCTCCACTCGCATCACTCGTGGTGTCCCGCCTCTTAAGTATGCTTGGGCTTTAGTGATTGAGCCAGCGGGATTGGATGACGAGGAGGAGGACGAGGAGTGGACGGACCTGGATCCTGACGTGGTGGCCGACCCTGAGAGGCAGTGGGATATAGCGAAGATGACAGTGAAGGAGGCCTTGGGCTGCTGGAAGGGCGACAAGGTGAAGGAGGCGATGGATGAGGAGATGCGGAGCTTGATTGAGCAGGGGACGTGGGAGTTGGTTCCGCGTCCGCCAGGGGTGAATGTGATGAAGAACCGCTGGATCCTGAACACCAAGTTCCGACCGGATGGGGTAGTGGAGCGTGAGAAAGCGAGGCTGGTGGTGAAGGGGTTCACGCAGGTGGCAGGGGTGGACTATGAGGAGACGTACGCCCCTGTGGGAAGCTATGTGACGGCGCGAGTTCTTCTGGCGATTGCAGCTGCACTTGATTTGGACCTGATGCAGCTGGATGTGAAGAACGCGTTCCTCCATGGCGTGCTGGACCGTGACCTTTACATGGAGCAGCCGAGCTACTACGAGGATGGGACCCCTCGTGTCTGTAAGTTGCTGAAGAGTCTGTATGGCCTCAAGCAAAGCCCGATGCTGTGGTATGAGGCCTTGGATGGGGTGCTGCTTGGGGCTGGATGGAAGAAGAGCCAGGTGGATGAGGCTCTGTACTTCAAGAGTGATGCTGAGGGGGAGATGTGCTGGCTGCTGGTGTATGTGGATGATTTGCTTGCTGCCAGCCGCAGTCAGAGCATGCTGGGGGAGCTACGTGAGCTGCTGCAGAGTGCGTTTCAGCTGCGGGAGATTAGCCCTGTGGAGAAGTACCTGGGGTTGCAGCTGATTCGGGACAGGCCTACGAGGAGGCTGTGGCTGCACCAGGGGGCCTACGTGGACAAGGTCCATAGGCGCTTCTTCGACGGGGAGCAGCCGCTGCGAGTGCCTCGCACCCCCCTTTCCTCTGACCCTTTCAGTGTGCAGACCTTTGAGGATGCGGGATGGCAGTCTCGCCAGGAGGAGGAGTACAGGCAGAAGGTGGGATCCTTGCAGTTCGCAGCCTGTACCACCCGTCCCGACATCTCCTTTGCCTGCAGCAAGCTGGGGTCAGGCCAGACTGTGCGGAGTGACCAGCACTGGAAGGAGTTGGACCGGTGCTTGGCGTACTTGGTGGGGAGCAGGGATGTTGCGCTGGAGTTTGGTGGTGGGCCTGAGTCCTTGGAGCTGGTGGGCTACGCCGATGCTGATGATGCAGGAGACAAGCAGAACAGGACTAGCACTGGTGGCTATGTCTTCGTGCTCGGAGGTGCTGCTGTCTCTTGGGCGAGCCAGAGGATTCGTTGCGCCACCCTCTCCTCCACTGAGTCCGAGTACGTTGCTGCTGTGGAGGCTGGGAAGGAGGCGCGCAGGCTGCGCTTCCTGCTGGCAGAGTTTCAACTGCTGAGGAGTGAGGTTCCCACTACTCTCTTTGTGGACAACTCCTCCGCCATTTCAGTGGCAGGTGGCATGGGGCTCAAGGGGAGCCTCAAGCACATGGAGCGTCGTCACATGTGGCTGCAGCACATGGTCAAGCGCAGGAAGCTGCAGCTTCAGTACATCCCTACGAGCGAGCAGCCTGCTGACTACCTCACGAAGGCATTGCATTTCCCCGCCTTCAGCCGTTGCTTCGAGGCTGTTGGGCAGGTGAGGCTCTCGAGCGAGGGGAGTGAGACCTAGACACTCCAAATTGTGGATGGTGCCATGGCCTATCCATGGCTGGTGCGGTGCGTGTTTGCACTTTGAGAGTGCTTCGTTTGTGTGTGTTTCCCTTTGTTTTCGCGTGTATGTGTGTATGCATGCCCTGTGATTATAAAGGGCCTTGCTGTAGTATGGCAGGGGAGTGTTAGAGGGCCCTACGACAGCAAGGGCCCTCGACGATGTGCATTGACTTGGCAGGTCGATGAACGACCAAGACTATACGCGGCCCTGCACCGACCCTATGACGTCGAATGACAATGACGGCGCTAATGAAGTCACTGCTGGGGTGGTGCTAGCTTAGGGAGTCGTGGGCGTGCTTCTTGGGTGGTCTTGGTAGTTGTGGGTGATTCTCTGTGAGTCTCGCCATTTCTGGTGTGCTGGGAGAATTGGCGAGCCCGGCATTGACTTCCCTGCTGAGTTGGGTTGGGAAGTTGACAAGGCGCGTTCGCTCACTCACACACCACTTTCGTGGGGTTGGGTTACTGCGCAGCGCCACGGCAACTTTGTGAAACCTCCCCGTAGCCTATATCTATCTTGTGTGTTTGCTTGTATGTTCTTCATAGTTGATCTTACAATTCTACTTGGTTTCTCACTTAGTCAGTTGAGACCAACGCTACCCAAGTGCTACCGAATTACTGACGCAACATCGTTCCCATAGCCGAAACTCTCTCGTCGTCGTATCGCTCTCCATAGTATTCCTTCATGGTGCGGTGAGCGTGGAACGAACACGCATAGATTTCCGTCGTCGATTATAGTGACGTTCGTATACTCGCCTTGGCGTGCGGCGTTAGTGAAGGGCGCTTATTAATTTAAGTTGAACCTTTCTTAATTTCCCTCCAGTTACGTTCTCGGACCCAAGGATAGGGCGTTTGGTAATTTATTACCACTCGTCTGAGGACCCTTGTGAGGTGACCCCGAGACGAGGGATTTAAGGAAGGGACAATTTATTTTAATTTGTGGTACCTTATAGAGGCGTCGTAAAGGATGAGTACGGAGGAGGCGAACGTGGAGGCCGATAATTTCCGCGCATTAGAGGAGGACCTCGTGGCTCGTCGCTCTCGTGGTGAGCTTAGTAGTGAAGATTACGAGCTCATGTTGGAGGGAATACGCGCTCGTCAGCGTCGCGATCGTCCCTCGCCACGTGTAGAGCAAGCCGCGGGAGGAACTAGTGCGTGGGATATGGCTGTTGATGGCGGAGATGGCGATGACGAGGAGTTTGATGGGTTGGTGTCGCGTGGGGTCCTGCGAGGAACGACTCGGTTTAGTACGGCTAGCGTCGGTGGTATACAGGAGCGTGTTCATCGCGCAGCGGCGTCACACGAGCGTGCGAACGTAGGACGACGGAGCGTTGCTGGAGGAGGGAATGCGGAGGAGTACGATAGTGGAGCTATGCCAGGCATTACCCCTCCTTCTGCTGAACCTGATGAGGATGATGAGGGGAATGAGGATGATGAGGGGAATGGGGATGATGGGGGGAATGGGGATGATGAGGGGAATGAGGATGATGAGGGGAATGAGGATGATGAGGGGAATGAGGATGATGAGGGGAATGAGGATGATGAGGGGAATGGGGATGATGGGGGGAATGGGGATGATGAGGGGAATGAGGATGATGAGGGGAATGAGGATGATGAGGGGAATGAGGATGATGAGGGGAATGAGGATGATGAGGGGAATGGGGATGATGAGGGGAATGGGGATGATGAGGGGAATGAGGATGATGAGGGGAATGGGGATGATGGGGGGAATGGGGATGATGAGGGGAATGGGGATGATGAGGGGAATGAGGATGATGAGGGGAATGGGGATGATGGGGGGAATGAGGATCATGAGGGGAATGGGGATGATGGGGGGAATGGGGATGATGAGGGGAATGGGGATGATGAGGGGAATGAGGATGATGAGGGGAATGGGGATGATGGGGGGAATGGGGATGATGAGGGGAATGAGGATGATGAGGGGAATGAGGATGATGAGGGGAATGAGGATGATGAGGGGAATGGGGATGATGAGGGGAATGGGGATGATGAGGGGAATGAGGGTGATGAGGGGAATGGGGATGATGGGGGGAATGGGGATGATGAGGGGAATGGGGATGATGAGGGGAATGAGGGTGATGAGGGGAATGGGGATGATGGGGTGAATGGGGATGATGAGGGGAATGAGGATGATGAGGGGAATGAGGATGATGAGGGGAATGGGGATGATGAGGGGAATGAGGATGATGAGGGGAATGAGGATGATGAGGGGAATGAGGATGATGAGGGGAATGGGGATGATGAGGGGAATGGGGATGATGAGGGGAGTGAGGGTGATGAGGGGAATGGGGATGATGGGGGGAATGGGGATGATGAGGGGAATGAGGATGATGAGGGGAATGAGGATGATGAGGGGAATGGGGATGATGAGGGGAATGGGGATGATGAGGAGAATGAGGGTGATGAGGGGAATGAGGATGATGAGGGGAATGAGGATGATGAGGGGAATGGGGATGATGGGGGGAATGGGGATGATGAGGGGAATGAGGATGATGAGGGGAATGAGGATGATGAGGGGAATGGGGATGATGGGGGGAATGGGGATGATGAGGGGAATGAGGATGATGACGGGAATGAGGATGATGAGGGGAATGAGGATGATGAGGGGAATGAGGATGATGAGGGGAATGGGGATGATGAGGGGAATGGGGATGATGAGGGGAATGGGGATGATGAGGGGAATGAGGATGATGAGGGGAATGGGGATGATGGGGGGAATGGGGATGATGACGGGAATGGGGATGATGAGGGGAATGGGGATGATGAGGGGAATGGGGATGATGGGGGGAATGAGGATGATGAGGGGAATGGGGATGATGGGGGGAATGGGGATGATGAGGGGAATGGGGATGATGAGGGGAATGAGGATGATGAGGGGAATGGGGATGATGGGGGGAATGGGGATGATGAGGGGAATGAGGATGATGAGGGGAATGAGGATGATGAGGGGAATGAGGATGATGAGGGGAATGGGGATGATGAGGGGAATGGGGATGATGAGGGGAATGAGGGTGATGAGGGGAATGGGGATGATGGGGGGAATGGGGATGATGAGGGGAATGAGGGTGATGAGGGGAATGGGGATGATGGGGGGAATGGGGATGATGAGGGGAATGAGGATGATGAGGGGAATGAGGATGATGAGGGGAATGGGGATGATGAGGGGAATGAGGATGATGAGGGGAATGAGGATGATGAGGGGAATGAGGATGATGAGGGGAATGGGGATGATGAGGGGAATGGGGATGATGAGGGGAATGAGGGTGATGAGGGGAATGGAGATGATGGGGGGAATGGGGATGATGAGGGGAATGAGGATGATGAGGGGAATGAGGATGATGAGGGGAATGGGGATGATGAGGGGAATGGGGATGATGAGGGGAATGAGGGTGATGAGTGGAATGAGGATGATGAGGGGAATGAGGATGATGAGGGGAATGGGGATGATGGGGGGAATGGGGATGATTAGGGGAATGAGGATGATGAGGGGAATGAGGATGATGAGGGGAATGAGGATGATGAGGGGAATGAGGATGATGAGGGGAATGGGGATGATGAGGGGAATGGGGATGATGAGGGGAATGGGGATGATGAGGGGAATGAGGATGATGAGGGGAATGGGGATGATGGGGGAATGGGGATGATGAGGGGAATGGGGATGATGAGGGGAATGAGGATGATGAGGGGAATGGGGATGATGGGGGGAATGAGGATGATGAGGGGAATGGGGATGATGGGGGGAATGGGGATGATGAGGGGAATGGGGATGATGAGGGGAATGAGGATGATGAGGGGAATGGGGATGATGGGGGGAATGGGGATGATGAGGGGAATGAGGATGATGAGGGGAATGAGGATGATGAGGGGAATGAGGATGATGAGGGGAATGGGGATGATGAGGGGAATGGGGATGATGAGGGGAATGAGGGTGATGAGGGGAATGGGGATGATGGGGGGAATGGGGATGATGAGGGGAATGGGGATGATGAGGGGAATGAGGGTGATGAGGGGAATGGGGATGATGGGGGGAATGGGGATGATGAGGGGAATGAGGATGATGAGGGGAATGAGGATGATGAGGGGAATGGGGATGATGGGGGGAATGAGGATCATGAGGGGAATGGGGATGATGGGGGGAATGAGGATGATGAGGGGAATGGGGATGATGAGGGGAATGGGGATGATGAGGGGAATGAGGGTGATGAGGGTAATGGGGATGATGGGGGGAATGGGGATGATGAGGGGAATGGGGATGATGAGGGGAATGAGGGTGATGAGGGGAATGGGGATGATGGGGGGAATGGGGATGATGAGGGGAATGAGGATGATGAGGGGAATGAGGATGATGAGGGGAATGGGGATGATGGGGGGAATGAGGATCATGAGGGGAATGGGGATGATGGGGGGAATGGGGATGATGAGGGGAATGAGGATGATGAGGGGAATGAGGATGATGAGGGGAATGAGGATGATGAGGGGAATGGGGATGATGAGGGGAATGGGGATGATGAGGGGAATGAGGATGATGAGGGGAATGGGGATGATGGGGGGAATGGGGATGATGAGGGGAATGAGGATGATGAGGGGAATGAGGATGATGAGGGGAATGGGGATGATGAGGGGAATGAGGGTGATGAGGGGAATGAGGATGATGAGGGGAATGAGGATGATGAGGGGAATGGGGATGATGGGGGGAATGGGGATGATGAGGGGACTGAGGATGATGAGGGGAATGAGGATGATGAGGGGAATGGGGATGATGAGGGGAATGGGGATGATGAGGGGAATGAGGGTGATGAGGGGAATGAGGGTGATGAGGGGAATGAGGATGACGAGGGGAATGAGGATGATGAGGGGCATGGGGATGATGGTGAGAATGAGGATGATGAGGGGAATGAGGATGATGAGGGGAATGAGGGTGATGAGGGGAATGGGGATGATGAGGGGAATGAGGATGATGAGGGGAATGAGGATGATGAGGGGAATGAGGATGATGAGGGGAATGGGGATGATGAGGGGAATGAGGATGATGAGGGGAATGAAAATGATGGGAGGAAAGAGGATGATGAGGGGAATGAGGATGATTAGGGGAATGAGGGTGATGAGGGGAATGAGGATGATGAGGGGAATGAGGATGATGGGGGGAATGAGGATGATGGGGGGAATGAGGATGATGAGGGGAATGGGGATGATGAGGGGAATAAGGATTATGAGGGGAATGAGGATGATGAGGGGAATGAAGATGATGGGGGGAATGAGGATGATGAGGGGAAGGAGGATGATGAGGGGAATGAGGGTGATGAGGGGAATGGGGATGATGGGGGGAATGGGGATGATGAGGGGAATGAGGATGATGAGGGGAATGAGGATGATGAAGGGAATGGGGATGATGGGGGGAATGAGGATCATGAGGGGAATGGGGATGATGGGGGGAATGAGGATGATGAGGGGAATGGGGATGATGAGGGGAATGGGGATGATGAGGGGAATGAGGGTGATGAGGGGAATGGGGATGGTGGGGGGAATGGGGATGATGAGGGGAATGGGGATGATGAGGGGAATGAGGGTGATGAGGGGAATGGGGATGATGGGGGGAATGGGGATGATGAGGGGAATGAGGATGATGAGGGGAATGAGGATGATGAGGGGAATGGGGATGATGGGGGGAATGAGGATGATGAGGGGAATGGGGATGATGGGGGGAATGGGGATGATGAGGGGAATGAGGATGATGAGGGGAATGAGGATGATGAGGGGAATGAGGATGATGAGGGGAATGGGGATGATGAGGGGAATGGGGATGATGAGGGGAATGAGGGTGATGAGGGGAATGGGGATGATGGTGGGAATGGGTATGATGAGGGGAATGAGGATGATGAGGGGAATGAGGATGATGAGGGGAATGGGGATGATGAGGGGAATGAGGGTGATGAGGGGAATGAGGATGATGAGGGGAATGAGGATGATGAGGGGAATGGGGATGATGGGGGGAATGGGGATGATGAGGGGACTGAGGATGATGAGGGGAATGAGGATGATGAGGGGAATGGGGATGATGAGGGGAATGGGGATGATGAGGGGAATGAGGGTGATGAGGGGAATGAGGGTGATGAGGGGAATGAGGATGACGAGGGGAATGAGGATGATGAGGGGCATGGGGATGATGGTTAGAATGAGGATGATGAGGGGAATGAGGATGATGAGGGGAATGAGGGTGATGAGGGGAATGGGGATGATGAGGGGAATGAGGATGATGAGGGGAATGAGGATGATGAGGGGAATGAGGATGATGAGGGGAATGGGGATGATGAGGGGAATGAGGATGATGAGGGGAATGAAAATGATGGGAGGAAAGAGGATGATGAGGGGAATGAGGATGATTAGGGGAATGAGGGTGATGAGGGGAATGAGGATGATGAGGGGAATGAGGATGATGGGGGTAATGAGGATGATGGGGGGAATGAGGATGATGGGGGGAATGAGGATGATGAGGGGAATGGGGATGATGAGGGGAATAAGGATTATGAGGGGAATGAGGATGATGAGGGGAATGAAGATGATGGGGGGAATGAGGATGATGAGGGGAAGGAGGATGATTAGGGGAATGAGGATGATGAGGGGAATGAGGGTGATGAGGGGAATGAGGATGATGGGGGGGTTGAGGATGATGAGGGGAATGAGGATGATGAGGGGAATGAGGGTGACGAGGGGAATGAGGAAGATGAGGGGAATGAGGATGATGAGGGGAATGAGGGTGATGAGGGGAATGGGGATGATGAGGGGAATGAGGATGATGAGGGGCATGGGGATGATGGTGAGAATGAGGATGATGAGGGGAATGAGGATGATGAGGGGAATGGGGATGATGGGGGGAATGAGGATGATGGGGGGAATGGGGATGATGAGGGGAATGGGGATGATGAAAGGAACGAGGATGATGAGGGGAATGAGGATGATGAGGGGAATGAGGATGATGAGGGGAATGAGGATGATGAGGGGAATGGGGATGATGAGGGGAATGGGGATGATGAGGGGAATGGGGATGATGAGGGGAATGAGGATGATGAGGGGAATGGGGATGATGAGGCGAATGAGGATGATGAGGGGAATGGGAATGATGAGGGGAATGAGGATGATGAGGGGAATGAGGGTGATGAGGGGAACGGGGATGATGAGGGGAATGAGGATGATGAGGGGAATGAGGATAATGAGGGGAATGAGGATGATGAGGGGAATGGGGATGATGAGGGGAATGAGGATGATGAGGGGAATGGGGATGATGAGGGGAATGAGGGTGATGAGGGGAATGGGGATGATGAGGGGAATGAGGATGATGAGGGGAATGAGGATGATGAGGAGAATGAGGATGATGAGGGGAATGAGGATGATGAGGGGAATGGGGATGATGAGGGGAATGAGGATGATGAGGGGAATGGGAATGATTCGGGGAATGAGGATGATGAGGGGAATGAGGATGATGAGGGGAATGAGGATGATGAGGGGAATGGGGATGATGAGGGGAATGGGGATGATGAGGGGAATGAGGATGATGAGGGGAATGGGAATGATGAGGGGAATGAAGATGATGAGGGGAATGAGGGTGATGAGGGGAATGGGGATGATGAGGGGAATGGGGATGATGAGGGGAATGAGGATGATGAGGGGAAGGAGGATGATGAGGGGAATGAGGATGATGAGGGGAATGGGGATGATGAGGGGAATGGGGATGATGAGGGGAACGAGGATGATGAGGGGAATGGGGATGATGAGGGGAATGGGGATGATGAGGGGAATGAGGATGATGAGGGGAAGGAGGGTGATGAGGGGAATGAAGATGATGAGGGGAATGAGGATGATGAGGGGAATGGGGATGATGAGGGAAATGGGGATGATGAGGGGAATGAGGGTGATGAGGGGAATGAGGATGATGAGGGGAATGAGGATGATGAGGGGAATGAGGGTGATGAGGGGAATGAGGATGATGAGGGGAATGAGGGTGATGAGGGGAATGGGGATGATGAGGGGAATGAGGATGATGAGGGGAATGAGGATGATGAGGGGAATGAGGATGATGAGGGGAATGAGGGTGATGAGGGGAATGAGGGTGATGAGGGGAATGGGGATGATGAGGGGAATGAGGATGATGAGGGGAATGAGGATGATGAGGGGAATGGGGATGATGAGGGGAATGAGGATGATGAGGGGAATGAGGGTGATGAGGGGAATGAGGATGATGAGGGGAATGAGGATGATGAGGGGAATGAGGATGATGAGGGGAATGAGGATGATGAGGGGAATGGGGATGATGAGGGGAATGGGGATGATGATGGGAATGAGGATGATGAGGGGAATGAGGATGATGAGGGGAATGGGGATGATGGGGGGAATGAGGATGATGAGGGGAATGAGGATGATGAGGGGAATGAGGATGATGAGGGGAATGAGGGTGGTGAGGGGAATGGGGATGATGATGGGAATGAGGATGATGAGGGGAATGGGGATGATGAGGGGAATGGGGATGATGAGGCACACCTGTGAAAGGCGGAGTGCTTGAGGTCATACTTGTGCTCCAGCCCATGTGGCCCTGTGCTCAGGCACATCTGTTCCACGCAATATGCTTTGTTCCATGCATGAGATGAGGTCATACCTGTTCCATGCATAGGGTCATGCCTGTTCCATTCAGGAGGGGATGAGCTCAACTGGAGGATTTTCGGAAATGCACCTGAAACTTATCATGGATATGCAGGAACATTGCACAGTATTGTTAGCTTGTATATTTTTATGTAACATTGGTTTACATACAACAGCGTCACAAAAGCTCTAAGAGTCACCACACAAAATGCTTCCACAAGCAATGCAGGCGTATCCTCTCAAACCCGAAACCCTAGATCTAAACGATGTGATGAACACCACTGCACCGCTGCCCCCTCCCCATGCGATGAGCTGGAGCTATCCTTTCAAGGTTTCAGCTGCCAGTAGAACTTATTCAACCAAAAACGAAGCGTACTTTGAGCTGGGAAGGGCACAAACGTTGGGGGCCAGGCAGGATGTGACAGAAAAGGCGAGGGCCAGTAACTAGATTGTGATGCCATGGCAAGTTAGAAGATGTGATGGCATGAGGGCCAAAAATCGGAATTCTTGACGAGAAATCGATAAGTGACAGCTGAATCAATGGTAATTTGAAAATGTGACACAGAAGAATCAACCGATTGCATTTTGAGAATTTGACATGATGTGACAACCTGATGCAGGGCATGCGGAATGTAGTCAGCATTAGTATGCCATCATTATGGTCCCGTGAGTGGCAGAGTACTTACTAGAAGCTCGTTTGCAATCCTTTTCATAGAAATCGTACGTCGACGTCTCTGTGCACAAGGAGAAAGTTGGCTTGCAATACTCGGATAAAAACTTGTCTTTGCCCTTCCTCACGTCAGCACACGAATACTTGTCTGCGGCGCATTCGAAAGGACGACATGATTCGGGGATGCATTCGAAAGGACGACATGATTCGGGGATTCGGGGTTGTAGTTTCTGAGTCAGCAGCAGCAACAACGGCACAGCCCTGCAGATGAAGTCTCTCAGCTAGTAATGATGAGTACTACTAGTGAGTGATTGGCAGGCAGAGCGAAAGCCGGGATGCGGAAGAATACAGGATGACATTAATCAACGAGGGGAAAAGGAGGAGGGGAGAACTTACCATCCGAAGTTCGCTCCACCTGCTGGGCAACCGCTTTCGAAGCATACGCTGAGAGAACGAGGGCAACGGCTAGCAGCAGAGAGAGAGCCTTAATTCCGCTTAGACGCGCCATTCTCAGGAGGAAAAGAGGTAGTACTAGTAGTCGTTGTAGTAGCTCTAGCGATTTCGTTGAATTAGACTTCAAGTCTAAAATGTTCTGACCCGAAATGGACCCCCAGGTTACTCCGGGGCAACATTCAGGTCACCTCAGAAACTGACCCAAAAGACCCTTCTGGAACTGACACTTTAGGCTAGTCTGAGGTCAGATGGCCTAACCCATAAGTGACTTTCGGGTCAGGTACGGGTAAGGTACGGGTCCGGTATGGGTCAGGTTTTGGCGGGAAAAGTCAGGTACGGGTCAGGTACGTGTTAGGATTTGGCGGGAAAAGTCAGGTACGGGTCAGATTTGGGTCAGCTTCGGGTCACACGTGGCCAGCGCATGGCCTGATTATATTCCCGTTACAGTGTGCTCTTTTTTTTTATAAGCATTTTTTGGTTTAAATTGTATAATATATATTTCACTTTATAACAACAGAACGTCAAATAACAACATCAGCATGACTACATAATAAATAGGGCCTTGTACAGTTGTCCCAGGATATATAAATCACTGCACAGCTAAAATATCCAGACACCACAATAAAGGGTCAAAGGCGTTACACATGCGACAACGCGATCTAAAGAATATAAAAACCAGAACTAACATTTAGCAATTATCACCTTGTAATTTGGAAAAATCACCTTCACTGCTCTGTGCCCCAAAATAACAGCAGGCATGGCGTAATAAAAATAATCTTCACGTGCTTGTTTCCATGTCAGGTTGTTATCAGGGGCGAAAATTGGTGGCGACGCGGAGGTGGTGGCGACGCGGCATAGTTTTCCAAAATTAATCTTCACAACATATATGCACCTGCATGTAGAGACAAAAAAAAAAACCGACATGAGACAAGCTGACAGTAATAAAAACGGCGGAAACAACCAACACGAAAATCTATCGACGTTGACACTAACAACCTCCTTTGCTTGGGGCACACATAGAAAAACACACCGTAAGCGCAATGAAAATAATTGCCACTCCTGCCTGCGTGCCGACTTTCATCGCCTAAAGCGCTGTTGCGCGGCACCAGTATCGTCAACCGCGACATTGGCAGCCATTGCTTGAGCGTGTTGTTCAGGCCTGAGGGAGGGTGGAAGTTGGGGGGAGGGGGGGGTGGAATGGGGGTAATGTGGGGGAAGGGATGGAGGAGTTGAGAGAGACACGTGGACAAGAGAAAAGAGCGTCACCTGCGGCATCACCGGCTGCGTCAGCCGCAGCATTGGCGGGTACTGCTTAAATTTGTTGTTGAGGCTTGGGGGAGGGTGGGGGGATGGGGGAGGAGAGAGACACACAGGAACATGATAGCGAATGAGCGAGTGGGGAGAGAGGGGGAGCGTTGGGATCCCTTAACAGGTGCGCACGAGCGCACGAGCTCGGTCGTATCGCACTGCGCCATGCCACAACGAGTGCCCATTCGAGTCGCCCTAAAGTACTGTCCCGTTAACGGCCTATCCCCCCTACCGGCTGGTTCCCCTACCGGCTGGTCCCCCTAACCGGCCGGTCCCCCTAACCGGCTGGTCCCCCTAACCGGCTGCTCCCCCTAACTGGCTGGTCCCCCTAACCGGCTGCTCGCCATACCGGCGTGTTTCGACTCACCGGACGTTTGTCACGCGGCGAGGGCCGTGCTGTAACCTCGCTTCTGCAGCTTCGCTACCATTTGCTGGTAGCCGGTATAAGCTGACGCGACTCGCGCGACGCAGAGCACAGTGACGACGGCAGTTAGGACGAGAAGGAACGCCGGGCGTCTCACGTGCACTGACCTTGGTGAGCTGCGCCACTACCTTGGCCTGCAAATCACCAAAGACAAAGCCGCTCACACCATTACACTCTCACAGTTACACATGGTGGAGTAGGTCCTTGAGCGGTTTGAGCTTCAGCACTCCACACTACAGCGCACACCTCTTGCTGTTGACCACAGACTCACTGGACCCTTCCCTGACGAGCCGTTTGAGCCTAGTGGTCCTTACGCAGAGCTTGTGGGCTGCCTCATGTACCTGATGACTTGTACTCGCCCGGACCTCGCCTTCCCTCTCAGCATCCTTGCTCGCTTTGTTGCGCCAGGGAGACACCGTCCTATTCACTGGACAGCAGCTGTGAGGGTGGCGAAGTACCTAGCAACGACATCAGGCGTGGGGCTGGTTCTTGGAGGGCGAGAGTCTGTCGCACTTACTGGTCACTGTGACTCTTCTTACGCTGACGACGCCGAGACTAATAGGTCTACTCAGGGGTACTGTTTCAGCCTGGGCTCTGGAGCTGTTTCGTGGAGGTCCACTCGTCCCTCCTCGGTCTCGAACTCTACCGCTGAGGCTGAGATCTACGCTGGAGCCATGGCTGCACAGGAGCTGCTGTGAGGATCTAGGATCGAGCTCAGAAAAGAGAATGTGAATTGAATTGAATTGAATTGAATGATCACCTGGGTACAACACGAGGCTATATATAGGCTCGACACAAGGGGCAGTAACCAGGTGCTACGCGACAGTTCTGGGGGTCGCGAAGCGTCCCGAACAGACCCTTCTCGAATTCGGTAGAAGGCAATTCGGTGGCAACCGAATAGCCCAGAATTCGGTGTACGCAACCTAGCTCGGTGCTATAACTATAATAAAATATAGGAAAGCACCTAGCCTAGGAAATCAAGCAATTCATGCATGCATAAAATAAACATAAGCTAGCAATAGCGTAATAAGATAAAAGAAAGCATGCATAGCTGGCATAAGCCGTCGTACTCTCACACGTCCCCCCCTCAAAGCTGGGTGGCGTGAGATACACCCTGCTTGACAAGATAGTCTTTGAGAGCACGGCGTGCGTTGCCCATATCAGCTTCTGCAACCCAACTGTCCTCAGTGGGGTCGTATCCCTTCCAACGTATCAGGAACTCGAGGGTCTTGCTGCCGCGGCGCCGATGAGTGAGAACGCGCTCGATCTCGTACTCTGGTTCATCCTGCACAAGAACAGGTGGAGGTGGCGGTAGCTGCCGTCCCTAGAACTGTTGGTTGGGGTCCTTGTAGGGTTTCAGTAGCTGAACATGGAAAGCATTGTGAAGCTTCCACGTATCTGGTAAGCGCAAGCGGAATGTAACTGGTGTCACCTGTGCCTCCACGAGAAAAGGACCACAGAAGCGAGGCCGGAGCTTCGATGGTAGGTGAGACAGGTTCAAGTTGCGCGTGTCGAGAAGCACCTGATCTCCGACTGCTACTGAGTGATCTCGTCGCTGGCGATCGACATACTGCTTCTGGGAGTTCTGCATCGTGGTGAGACGTCGCTGAGTCTTCTCCCATAGCTGCTGCATGGTGGTGATGAAGTCGTGTGCGGCTTGGACGTGTGCCGGTGTGGTCGGCTGCTGTGGTGTGAGTGGTTCCCGTCCGTAACACAGGAAGAAAGGGGTTTTCCCTGTGGCCGCATGTGAGGCGTTGTTGTAAGCGAACTCTAAGGTCGGTAACTGTGTGTCCCAGTGGCTGATGTCGTCCTTGCAAGCTGTACGCAGTAACTGTTCAACCACCTGATTGAGTCGCTCCGTCTGTCCAACAGTTTGGGGATGGTATGCTGAAGACATGGCAAGCTTGATCTCCAGCAGTCCCATAAGCTCCTTCCAGAACTTACTTGTGAATTTTGGGTCTCTGTCTGAGATAAGTGTAGCGGGGATGCCGTGGATGGTGATGATGCGGTCGAAGAAGAGGCGAGCAGTTGCTTCAGCTGTAGCTGTGGCGTTGGTCGGTATGAAATGACCCATTTTGGAGAACTTATCGATTACTACGAGGATGGAATCGTGTCCCCGTGAGGTCGAGGGAAGTCCTGTGATGAAGTCGAGGCTAACGACCTGCCATGGCTGC